GATTTCCCTACAGGATAACAGCGAGGTAGGTATTTTACCTCAGTCTTGTCCTGACACACTGCATACATTCCCCTCCACGTGCCAGTCCTCAGCTCTAGTTACTCTCTCTGAAAATATTCATGACAGTCACAGTTACAGATCCAAACGTTATACATAAGCAACTCAGTATAGCTCTGCTGCTATTCAGCGAAAAGACTCTTTTTCGTAACACAACTTCCAGAAAAAGAGGGAAATGGGTCTCAGCTTCTGCCAAGGGGCTTCTATCCCTTTTATTCTTTTATTTTATAATTTTTTTTTATCCTTTCTGCAGATGACAGTCATGTGACCAAAGTACCAGCAGGAAAAATTTACCCAACGGGAGTGTAAATGACATTCTTTAGCTTGCTTTGGGTATGAAGAGCTCCCAAAACTGCCTTTGGAAATAGCACAGGCAGCATTTCCACTGATGGGATTAAATGAAATCAGCTGCATTGTGCTGCAGCCATCCAGTTTCCTCTTTGGCTGCAAGTACTGGCGTGAGCTATGATAAGCCTGAGATAGTGCTTCACTGAAATCAAAGAACCGAGACAGCTCTGACTTATTAGTATTCTGTGAAACAGTGGTGACTGATTTTTAATTTTAAAAAGAAGGGGGGGGGGGGAAAAAAAGAGATAAAAATCTTATATTTAAAAGTGTACTTTCTGTTTACAGGAGTCTTTATTACTCCCCGATGACAAAGGAACCATTCAGATCTGCACAAAAACTTCACCGTGTGTTTGTAAAATTAAATTCTCCTTCCAGTAACTATCATATAATTTATCTAATTCACCTCAACGAAACCCACACACACTGTAATGCCTATGCAGGATGCTGGCATGACCGTAGGAACTACAGGGTCCTCCTCCTAGTCAAGAAGGGGTACAGTCCGCATAAAGGATCAGGAATGATGACCCCAACGACCATATTCTCCACAGCCCATTATGTCTTTGTTCCTTCCATGGACAACAATATTGTCAAGTAGTGTTATTTCTGGATGTAGTTTTAATTTCAATTATAACCCAACCTACCAATTCTGTCCTAAAGCAAACCGCAGGGGCTAGGCTTTGTACATTACGCTCATCCCAATCCATATCCCTCAGAACAGAGCTGGGAGTGCCCATGCTTTCCAGCAGTCCCTCTCGTAGCTTTACCCGATGACAGAAGACGGCTGGATATTGCGATCTCTCTCCCAGCCTGGGACTGGACTTGCTGTGCACTCACAGTGTATATAACAAATACACATACATATTTCATGTGTGCATGTGCAAAGTAGCACTGAGAGGAGAGATCACCAACTGCAAAGCAACATTAGACTTAAAACCCTTTAGTGCCCAGTGTATGAGTAAGCTAGTTAGGTGAAAGTCTCAGACAGGCAAGTGACGTAAGCCAACAGGATACAGAGCAACATATCTCCTACGTCAGACGTTTTCACATGTCAGAGATGACCCTGCATAATCCACTCCTATTTGTGATAGGGAAGCAGAAAAAGCAGTCACAAGGGTGTTCTTCACAGAATGCTCCTGCTACTATGCACCTTCTCTGTCAAATACAAAAAACCTGATTATGTGATCAGACACTTCAAATACAAAATGGTACGATACATATCATTTGAGCACACTTGGAAAAAGCAATAAATAAGAAAACCCTGCTGACACAGTAGTCCTAGAATAGCCCTATAACAAAGAAATGGCTTTCTAAAAGCCTTTACAAGGTCTGCACACACTGTATATGTTTGATATAAAAATAAACAAAAAAGATATTAAAACATGACACAGTAAAATTTTGAAATAGAGGGGACCCGGTAACAAATACAAGCTGTTCTCCTTCATGTACACAGGCTGAAAATTGGAGCCACATCATTAACCACTTTCCAATCAAACCAAGTATTTTAATCGACCTGAAACAAAAGTTTGATATGAAATAGCTTAGGGTTTTATAGCTTTCATTTAAATTTGAGGATTATAAGTTCAATTGACATTGTGAGACAAAATATTGAAGTGTTTTGTTTTAGTTTTTAAACTCTCTCTGCTTACCAGGAAGATAGAGTTTACAGTCAGTGGCTTTTAGCCATAAAGTCTGCAGAGACAACATATGGAACAATTACTCATTTATAGCTGAAATCATGACAAGTGTCAGTAAAAAGGGGCTGATATTCCCCTTTTTTTCATCTTCAATATGCTTTATCTTGGTAGAAATAGTTTTGTTTGTGAATCAAATAATTCAAGATCAGAGCACATTACCAAAACTTAAAAGTGGGTGTAGTTTTTCTTCATCTGCAACAACGGGGAGACAATGACACTATCATCCGAATCGTCCGAGTGAGCTTCATCCGTGGGCAGAGAGGGAGCGGGCTGTGATTGCTGCTCAGAGGACCTGGCTGAAATAATTTCAAAGGAAACAAGGTCATCAATAAACAACACTGACAAAAACAAGCCCTTGTGGGAAGTCTAATATTCTCTGAGCCATTAAGTTTCCAGAATTACCTACCGTTATGAATAACTCTGATCTATCTTACCCTGCATATAACTATTCCCCTTCCTCTTTAATGAAAGAGCATGCATGGCAAGCGTTAAGCTGACATACTGACCACACGTGATTTGTCTTACTGTCTTTAAATCTTTGTGAGTGGTTACACACCACAAAGTAAAGCAATTCGCTACTGAAGTCATCTCGGGTCATAAAAATAAGTATTTATTAGATGGCCAGAAAGGAAAAATTGACCCAAGCAAGTTTAAGCTAAGCAGAAAGGTCATAATGAGAACTTCAGTCAGATATAGAAAGAGAAAATGGAAATCAGTGAGTGGAAAAAAGGGATGGAAGCTCTCAGTGATTGTCCTCCATTCTTATATCTGTGAAATACCCAAAATACTATTCACATGCTGTACTGCCTTGATGACAATAAAAGCAGTGACCACACCATGGTTTGCTTTTCTGGGTGCATGGTTCTATGCATCTCATGGATTCCATATTTGAAGAAATGTTCAGGGCATGAACAGATAGAACCGTAATGATACCAGTAAATACTGGAAAATCAGAGGGATAAAATGGATACATACAAGGCTCCCAACATCTGATGAGCAGAACCAGCAGCTTGTATCCCCTCTGCCAGAAATCTCTGAACTAAATGATGACAGCTGTTAATACCTCCTAGCACAATGTTCTCCCCTCAGCTCCACTTATTTTTCAGTTTAAAACACCAATTCTCTGAAAACACTATCTCCCAGAGAAGAAAACAAATCAAGATGGCCTGCAGTAGAAGAAGGGAGCAGACAACTAAGATGTCATACACCGAGATTCTGACACCAAAACAGAAGAGAAAATGGAGAGCTTGCCAAAAATACTACTTGGGGAGAACAACTGAGATGCCATGGGTCTTCACAGCAAAACAAGAGGTTCCTGACACAGAAAAAACCTCCTGGTATGGAAGAGCAGGCACACACAGAAACTGGAATGCGGAATAAAGAGGACTGCAACCAGCCCAGAAACAGAAAAAGAGTGACAGACAGAGAGCCTGTGAAAGGGAGAGGAAAGGTGCAGGGAGGCCAGTGCACCGACCCCAACCTACAGAAGCAAAGAAACACATGATTTCCCGGTGCCGTGAAATTCTTCTCTGCATCAGTCAACAAAAGAGGTTTTTCAGGAAGAACTATGAGCCAGTAGTACTGGAAATAAGGATGAGCAACTTCCAGAAGCAGGCAGGGTAACCAGAAGATGCAACCCCAACAATAAACAGATATTATACATGAAATAGCTTAATGTTGTCCAAATCACTCTTGATTACATCCTGCTCTTGATGTCTGAGATTTTCTAGTCCTCTTCCTCAGTTTAATACCCTTGAGAGTAACAACTTTATCTCTGCGCTTGTAAAGGGGAAAGCACTGATTAGACTTAAGGGCTGTATGTAAATCATTAGGATTTTAAAAAAGCCTCAAATTAAGTTAGCAGTTGTAACCAGAGCATCTAGGGTATGCAAAGAAAAATGCTGCCCTTACTCAGAATTGCTGTGCACGTTCAGAACATATTCTTCCTTCCTGCCACTCCCCTGACAGAAACAAAATGCTAAGTTGCAGAGACTGAATTGTTATTATCTGTTCCATTTCACTAGAAGCAGCAGAAATGGCTCTACAAATCTCCAGTTCTGAAGACAAGCAAAGCAGCATTAAATGCTACCCTGTTTTTTAGAAAACAGAGACATCTAACCTGATGCAAACAACGAATTAAAAGTCTGCAATGGCAGACTAGGATTATATGAATTTATTCTGGCAGATACATAAGGTTCTTTAAAACACATTTCAATTTTTCCCATTCCTCTCAAAATAATGCCCAAAGGCTAGTGAAGTTAAATGATTTACTGCAATATATACTTCCACTGAAAGTTTAAGATCATCGCAAGATCTAGAGGTCACAAAATGCAAGTTTGGACTTGGGACAAATGAAGCAAGAGTTTGTTCAACAGCTGCATGATTTAAAGCTCTAGGAATGCGATTGCTTTAAATCACTCAGCTGTTAAACAAAGCTCCTTGTCTCACACACTGGCCAAGCTGCAGGATGACCAGTGAAATAACTTACATCAAACCCAATTTTGCTGGTGGATTTTTTACATCAGTCATGAGCCAGGAATGACAGACGTTGTACTTTTAGTTAACTTCAACCTGTTTAAGCTACATGAATTCAAACGGCAAAAAAACTGCTATAGCAAAACAGACTGCTGAGGACTCACATTTCTTCATATACGTGGTATTTACACCAGAATGCTCTCTTTCCTTTAGTAGTAGGCTTTTCCTGATTTGCCTTTTGGGAGAGTTTGGTTAAACCCTCCAATGCCCCAAGAGCTAATATGCAGAACTACTTAGTGCAGACAGTCTTTTGGGCAGCTGTGCAGTTACATCCAGTAAGCCTCTTCACAAGCTACCTAAATATGTTCCATCCTCATCCCAGAGTTTGAAAATGTCTCCCCAGCGCTACAGGCTTGGGGACGAGTGACTGGAAAGTTGCCCAGTGGAAAAGGACCTCAGGGTGTTGGTTGACAGCCAGCAAATATGAGCCAGTAGTGTGGCCAGGGTGGCCAATGGCACCTTGGCCTGCATCAGGAACAGTGTGGCCAGCAGGACCAGGGCAGGGGTCATCCCCCTGTACTGGGCACTGGTGAGGCTGCACCTCAAATCTTGGGGTCAGTTTTGGGCCCCTCACTGCAAGGAAGACACTGAGGTGCTGGAGGGTGTCCAGAGAAGGGAACGGAGCTGGGGAAGGGTCTGGAGCACAATTCCTGTGAGGAACAGCTGAGGGCGCTGGGGGTGTTCAGCCTGGAGAAGAGGAGGCTGAGGAGAGACCTTATCACTCTCTACAACCGCCTGAAAGGAGGGTGCAGAGAAGGGGCGGTTTGTCTCTTCTCTCAAGTAACAATCAATAGGACAAGAGGAAATGGCCTCAACTTGTGCCAGGCGAGATTTAAATTGGACATTAGGAAAAATTTCTTTGCTGAAAGAGATGTCAGACGTTGGAACGGGCTGCCCAGGGGTGTGGTGGAATCACCATACCCTGGATGTGTTTAAAAGACGCGTAGATGCAGTGCTCAGGGACACAGGTTAGTAATGGACTTGGCAGTGCTGGGTCAGTGGTTGGACTTTATAATCTTAAAGGTCTTTTTCAAACAAAAGTCACTAAAATCACTCAAAACTCACATCTTCAGAAGCAAGTACACCTGCTCCTTCATAAAGCAGAATATGCTCCTGAATATGGAATACAGTAAAGTTTCGTAGAGACGTTTTCCTTCACTGAAAGGGGAACCTCTGGATTCACAAACCCTTCAAATCTGGCTTATTCCCCACCTCATATCTTAGAGAAACAGCCTCAGCTATTTACAGCATGCTCTGCTTCTGAGCAAGTCTGCAGGGACTGTCAGCTTTTCATTGACAAAAAACAAGTCAATGTTTCTGAGGTCATCCTCAAAGTTGCTCTTTTTCTCTCCAACTGGTCTATAAAAGCCTAAAATATCCCACTCTGGATGAACCAACCTTTTTCAATTTGTTTTTAACTCCTTTGAGGATGGATGTCTAAGGCTTTCTTATCTGCACCACTCTTTTGCCTCTCCTATTCAGTACTTCCAACATCCTCTTAAAAGCGTCTTTGGCTTTAACACCATCTTCTCACAAGCAGCAACAATGAAGTCAGGAAGGAAACCAAATGGCAGAAGAGCCATAAAAGAGACAGACGTTTTCCCAGTTTGTATTACAGTAGTGCTAGTTGGCAAGGTTATCCAGGACTTCATTTTCCTCCCTTACTGCAGCAACTGAAGACTGCTGAAAAAAACGTGACTAAGTACACATGGCTGACGAGGATGGTTCTTCTTACCAGATGTCTGTCCCCTTCCGAAACTAAGTCAGGACGGTGAAAACATTCTCAGCTTGTCTGTGGCTTTGGGCCCAAAACATAGCGGAAAGTACCATACCACAGCTACAGTGGGGGGATTGAAAAGGAAGTAGAGAGGCAATAGAGGGGAACACCATGTTCCTTGAATAGTGACACCAGAGAGAGACCTTCCAAACCACAGTTGTGACAAAAAGGTAAAGCACTGAGAGGAAGCTGGTACTGATACTGTCAAAGCTTTGCTTTTTTTATGTAAGGGACTGTACTTGCCACTAAAAGCCGTATGTCATCAAATTAAGACGACGCACAGAGCATACAAGTATGCATTTGCACATGTGTGTGCATGTGCAGCTGTTCTGTGTGTGAACCCAATGAAAACACACACACTTTTGACCACAGAGGGAAATGACATTACCAGGAAGAGACGACACGAAGACTGAAGGAGGTGTCTGGAGTGCTGCCGAGACCGGTTTCTTCTCTGTCACGTAAACTGCAGAATCTGCTTTCTCACTTGGTGCACTGGACACAGAGGGCCTGTAAAAAGGCATACTCCATAGCACGAGGCACCGAACAGTACCTGCACTCTGCCTTCAGAGGGTATGCTGCCAAGTTTCTTGTGCTGCTAGCCTCCAAGAGACCAAAGCTTATCACCTGCAGAAGTGAACTCAGACACTAAAGAGAGGTGACAGCTATGTAACTCTCCTTGTAACCATGGCAGCCAATATTAAAAACTTTGAGAGGTAAACCCTGGAGAAAAAGAAAGTATTTTTCAAGACAGAGTCACTAAAAACCCAAGCAGTAAGCAAATCACCGTGTTCTTCCTGAGCCAAGTCACTACACTGTACGGAAGATGGTATTATAGCTGCTCCCTGTTCTTCCTCCACATAACCCTTAACATGTCAGGGCTTCAGATTCACTTATGTTAAGCAAGTGTACTAGCAATCAGTTTGAAGCAACAGTAATGCTTTGTTTATTTGGTTTTTCCACAGACTAATTATTTTACTTTACTTTTCCTCATTGCTATTGAAGAGAACATGCCAAAGGATATGGGAAGACTCATGCTAAAACAAGAAATGCTTTCAGTTGCATACCCTTTGCATTTTCTCACGAGCTCACCCCTGTCTTTGTTGGACCATTGGCCTTGTTCTTCTCTGCCAAGAAACTCACGCTAAAATTCAACCAAAAAATTGACCCCTTTCCTGTAATAAAAACAACTTTGCTAGTGTATGTTGTAGAAATATCTATTCTTCACTTACCTCTCCTCCAGCAGCACTGTACGTGCTAAGTGAGCCCTGAAAACAGACTGGATGAATGTCACATTCTCATCTTTCCCCTTCCAGTCAGAAGACAAGCTCAAGCTGTTTGACACGGAAGACTTGCAGGAGTTCTGCAAAGCAATCAGATTAACGAAAACTGACCTTCTACAGACCACACAGACGCTTGACAAAAGCTTTCACAATCTTACTCCTGATTATGAAAGTAGGAGTAGAGCAAAACATTCTCATCTTTTGGTCTGCAGTCTTT